CGACAAAAATGGTGAGGGGGCTGGGGGAAATGACTCATAAGGACAGGCTGAGAGAGGGGCATCATTCAGAATTTTAAAAATCTTGTTAAAAGCTGGGAACAAGGTATCTTCCTAGGCATCATCCACGCTCACCTTTAACTATTAACATACAAAGATATAGAGTATTCCTGTAACAGTTTTCCAGTGCACTCAGAAGAGGGGTCATAGTACATAAGCAGACAGTGCTAACTGAAGAAGGGCTTGAGCAAAGTGGTCATAGCATAAAATGATTTGGTTCATAGCGTACCATAAAATGATTTGTTTTTAAACCAGGGGTAAAATGGTGGATCCAGCCAGTGGCCAGACTCCATTTCCCAGCAGCCCCTGCCTGAATCACTGCAGCCAGTTTCCATGGAGACCCCAGCAGCAGCGGGCCTTGACAGTATGGGGCCAGGGTTTCCATGGAGACCAGTCCCAGCAGTGGTGGCAGGACAGGGAGCTGCTCCAGAGTCAGGATCTTGTGGTGGTGACAGCATGGTCCAGAGCCAGGGCAGAGCCATGATCCACTACCTGCATACCCCTGCTGGGGGCGTGTGAGCAGTAGATTGCAGTTCTGCCCTGGCTCTGGACCACACTGTCACCATCACAAGATCCCACCCTGGAGCAGCTCCTCACTCAACCATGACCTGCCATTGCTGCTGAGGCCTGTCTCCATGGAAACCCTGGCCCCACACTGTCATGGCCCTGCCGCTGCTGGGATCTCCATGGAAACTGGCTGTAGTTATCTAGGCAGGGGATGCTGGGAAATGGAGTCTGCCACAGGCCCAGTCCAGCAAGTTGAGCTGGACTTTTCCTGCCCCTATCCTAGACTTTGCTGCTTTTATGACACTGACAATACAGACAAACATAGCAATCATATCAATATCAAAGGATCTTTATACAAACCATTATGATGGACCTGTTATATCTGCATGATTCTTTAGTGATTCAATGATGTAAAAGATTCATAGATTTATAGATGTAGGGTTGGAAGGGACCTAAGTAGCTCATCAAGTCCGACCCCCTGCCCTGGGCAGGAGAGAATACTGGGCTTATATGACCCCAGCTAGGTAACTGTCAAGCCTCCTCTTAAAGACCCCCAAGGTAGGAGCCAGAACCACTTCCCTTGGAAGTTGGTTCCAGATCCTAGCTGCCCTGACTGTGAAATAGTGTCTTCTAATGTCCAGCCTGAACCTACTCTTAAACAACTTATGGCCGTTATTCCTTGTTACTCCAGGAGGTGCTCAGGTGAACAGGGTCTTTCTCATTCCCTGCTGGTCCCCTCCCGGGTAAGCTTGTAGATGGTCACCAGGTCCCCTCTCAGCCTTCTCTTGTGAAGGCTGAACAGGTTCAGGTCCCGTAGCCTCTCCTCATAGGGTCTGCCCTGCTGCCACCAGATCATGCAAGTGGCCCTCCTCTGGACCCTCTCAATCTCAATACTGGCTACATCTCTCCTAAAGTGCGGCGCCCAGAACTGGATGCAGTACTCCAACTATGGCCTGACCAGTGTCACATAGAGGGGGAGGGTCACCTCCTTGGCCCTGTTTGTGATACATCTGTGGATGCGTGACAAGGTGTGGTTGGCCTTCCTGACCGCGTCCTCACATTTGTGGCTCATGTTCATTTTGGAATCGATAACGACTCCAAGGTCTCTTTCTGCCACTGTGCTTTAAAGAAAGGAGTCCCCCAGCCTATAGGCATGCTGCTGGTTCTTACTGCCCAAGTGCAGCACCCTGCACTTGTCAGTATTGAATCCCATCCTATTCTCATTTGCCCACCCCTGTAACCTGTCCAGGTCCAGCTATATCCTTTTCCTCCCTTCTAGTCTGCCCACCTCACCCCAGATCTTGGTGATGTCAATGAATTTGAGCAGGGTGCTTTTCACCCCCTTGTCCAAGTCACTAGTAAAGAGATTAAACAGTGTGGCCCCAAGGACTGAGCCCTGGAGGACCCCACTGCCCACATCCCTCCAGGTTGAATATGACTCATCCACCACCACCACTCTCTGGGTGCAGTCCCTCAGCCAATTTGCGACCCATCTGACTGTGTAGGCATCAATGCCACAGTTGCCTAGCTTTTTAATGAGAATGGGGTGGGAGACAGTCAAAGGCCTTCCTGAAGCCCAGAAAGACTACATCCACCGTGACACCTGCATCCAATGATTTTGTGACCTGATCATAGAAGGCAATCAGGTTGGTCTGACAGGACCTGCCCCTAATGAACTCATGCTGGTTGACCCTGAGTCTCATCCCCGCTGCTAGTCCTTCCCAGATGTGCTCCTGGATAATTTTCTCCAAGAGCTTCCCTAGGATTGAAGTAAGACTAACGGGCCTATAGTTGCCCGGGTCCTCCGTCAGCCCTTTTTTGAAAATGGGGACCACATTGGCCTTCCTCCAGTCGTCTGGCACTTGGCCAGAGCACCGCAAGTGCTCATAAAACCGTGCCAGGGCCCCCTCAATAACCTCTGCCAATTCCTTCAGCACCATCTGGACTTGCTGATTTGAATACGTCCAACCCCTCCAGAAGTTCCCTAACTCAGTCCTCCCTGACCCTAGCCCTGTCAGAGTCTCTCCTGAGTCCATCCTGAATCTCAGTGGGGGAGTCCTGGTCCCTGCACAAAAAAATGGAGACAAAGAAATTGTTAAAAAGGTCTGCCTTTTCCTCTGGTGCAACCACCAGATTGCCAAGCGTATCCCACAGGGGCCCCACATTACCTGGTGCTTTCTTCATACTCCCTATGTATTTAAAAAAGGACTTTTTGTTGTCCTTGATCCTTGATACTAGCACTAGTTCCATATCTGCCTTAGCTTTCCTAACAGCCCCCCTACAAGCCCAAGCGATGGAGGAATACTACTCTTTGGTGATAGTCCCTCCCTTCCACTGGGTGTATGACTCTTTTTTGGATTTCAGGCATTCCT